CAACCGGATACATCCTTTGACCATAATTAACCTTTTCACTCGGACAAGGGTAATTTAGCGAATAAACAAATGAGCAAACGAGACATGCCCGCCAAACGTAGACTCATACTTACACACATACATATTTCCAAACTAAAGCAGGAAGCAAGGGGCTTAGGTGTTGAGGAAAATAGAGAACAAAACATAAAGCTCAGGTAGAAATTTGAAGCTGGGCTAGTGGTGGTGCATAAAGGAAATGCAGGGGCATAGCATGAGAGCGCAAAAGCGTAGGTGTGGCATGAATGTGAAAGAAATGAGAGACCACAAACTGCCATCGCGTCAGTTAACTGCTATGTCAAATTCAATCGCCCACTAACGGTACCATGCCGTTCGCCAAACTTCTCTGGCCTGGCTATTATGGTGTGTTCTTTGTCGGATCTTCTTCAACTTGATGCTGAATCATTGCCATTATTAAGGTTGTTATCAGATTCGTTTTGTATTCTACGCCATTCCACGCATTTCAGAACTTCTTTATCTGTGTCAGTTGTTGTTGTTTTTTTTAGACGTCCTGCTTTTACCCTTTTGCTGTACGTAAATGCTTTGTTGTGCACTCCAGTGGGCAAAGCAATTTGTGGATGTTGCACAATCATAATTTGCGGTTTGTATTTTAGTACAACAAGTTTGGCGAGATATACGAACTTTGTGCGATAGAGCAGAGTTGGGTTTGCACTTTTTAGAGGGTGTTGCATCAGGAACTCACCAAAAACTCCACCGATCTAATAATGCGCCAAAGAAGTAATTTCGCCACAATCTTGTCTGGCATTGACTGTTTGCTGATATAAATACATATATCCTACTACGAAAATGTTCATAAATTTTATTTATAAGATACCTGATGTACATACCGATTCCTGTCCAATTTAAAGTTTCAAACAACCGAAGTTCGACTTTAATCCTTACCAGCGTTGCCACTAACAATTCTTTCCCCTACCAATTTTCTTCCCAAATCCGACCAAAATCGTTTACAACCTACCATATAAATTTCAATTTCAAAAAAGCATTCTGAAAGCATACAATTCATTTATTTAAGATTAATAGCACAATTTTGTATCGGTGACAAACAATTTTTACCGGCAAATTTAAACCTTTCATATAATTTTTCGTATAAAAACTGTGACAAGAATTTGTAAATAATACAGAATAGAGCCGTAAATGTCCCGAATACAAAACATTTACATACATACACTGAGGGAAATAATGCATAGTAAAAATGAATACTTTATATTTGATTATCGTTTAAAAATGATCGAATTTAAAAATAAAATTTTCATAAAAATTTATTACGCACGTATTTGACTGTTCACATGTGAGTATATATATGAGTGTACATTACAGTGGTCCAAAAAAATAACGTCGGGGTTTTAATGCCGGCACACCCTAGGATTGATCTATATCGAAAAAAATATACCCCTATTTTTTATTTTGAAATTAAAAAATAGTTTGGGAGTGCCTAATGCGCTCAAAGTTTTCCATGTATTTTAGAAAAATATAGATTTTCAAGAATTCTACACTATTTCTACGAAAATTTATTTTTTTTCCATATAAAATACATGGACAACTTTGAGCGCTACCTAAATTATTTTTTATTTTACAATAAAAAAATATGGGTGTATTTTTTCGGTATATAACAATCCTGGGGGGTGGCGGCATTAAATATCCGACCTTATTTTTTGTACATACATTTTTGGACCACTTCAGTATACATACGCACCCCAAGCATGCAGAGCGCCGCTCTGAGAGCGGTGACCTCACACACATTCATACATAGTACATGTTTATCCGTACAAATCGCGTGCTGTGGTGTTGATGGATATTCAATATTTGAAAGCAAATTTGTAGCTGAGTGCGCAAAGATGCATGCCACAATTTGTTGATATCCAGAGATGGTCAGGGTTCGAATTCCACTGCAGGCAACATGCAAGTTAAATATTTTTTTTTAGTTTTTGTCTTGATTATTCACTTCACGGATGCTTTTTCAGAACGAACGCGGTCATTTTAATATGCGCGTAATTGAATTGAATATTAACCAATATACAGTACTTTCGTTGACGTTTATAGTAAGATCAATTACGTTTCTATTTGATTTTAATATTTTTTCCTCTCAGTGTAAAAGAAACTATGTAAATATGTTGCGGCACAATGTCTCAATGCTTTCCGGTAATTTTTTAGAAGCGTAGCTTGAGCAAAGGTGAAGTGAGTGGCATGTGCACTTTATATAAAATAAATCGGTTTCTGCACTCAATAATGTTTTCAGCCCGCCTAAGTCTCCAGCCATAACATTGGCTCCATCAGTACCCAAACCAATTAGGTTTCTTATTTTTAAAGGCAGGATTGGTACACTGAGGGAAATAATGCATAGTAAAAATTAATACTTTATATTTGATTATCGTTTAAAAATGTTCGTATTTAAAAATAATATTTTCATACAAAATTTATTACGCACGTATTTGACTGTTCACATCTGAGTATGTATATATAAGTGTACCCAAGCAAGCAGAGCGCCGCTCTGAGAGCGGTGACAATACACACATACATACATGGTTATCCGTACAAATCGCGTGCTGTGGTGTTGATAGATATTCAACATTTGAAAGCATATTTATATGGCTGGGTGTAGCTGAGTGCACAAAGATGTTTGCCACAAGTTGTTGATATCAGGAGATGGTCGGGTTCGAATTCCACTGCAGGTAACATACAAATTTAATTTTTTTTTAGTTTTTGTCTTGATTATTCACTTCACGGATGCTTTTTCAGTACGAACGCAGTCACTTTAATATGCGCGTAATTGAATTGAATATTTACCAATATACAGTACTTTCGTTGACGTTTACAGTAAGATCAATTACGTTTCTATTTGATTCTAATTTTTTTCCCCTCAGTGTAAATGTTAAAAGGTACAATTGGCAAATATTTATATGAAAACTGATGTTTGAAATATATATGTTTATATATACATAAGAATTTAAAAACTTAATTCAACTATCCGACCAACCTACCAAATGAAAAAGAAGCGGCCACATTTGGTCGGAAAAGACCAATAGTGGCAACACTGATCCCTACCTTGTCCCATCTCAAGTCCGCATGCGTTTCTGTGCAATCAAAAATGCCCGCCAGGCAGCGCAGTGGGATTCCTTTTCTTAATCTCTTCACGCTGCTGTTGAACACGTGATTCTAATTACTACACTAATTCAGATGCCACTGATGTGACAAAAAGTCCAACGCTGCTTTGTTAAAGAAAGAGAGAAGTCTTTGCAAATCGGAAGACAAGAGAGGCAAAAATACGTGAATCCAGACAGCTTAAAATGCTGGCAGGCAGGTATGGCGCTCGCCAGAATTCTTGATGTATTTACTGGATTTTCTACCAGTTCCGGCTCTGATATTGCCAGGAGAGAAATAAGTGGGCGCAAATGTACAGTCTTCACGAAATGTCTGAGTACTGCGTTTAATAAAAAAGCAGCAAGTGCCAAGGTTCGCGAGGGATTGCTTATTTTGCTTACTCTGCCAGGCAGCAAAATCTTCCTGCAAAAAACAGTTAACACCAGCAATCGATGCAGCGTTATCGCCATTCAGATCAAGGCAAGGATCATACCTGATATTAAAGCTTATGAACGCAACTGATTAAATATCGTCTGCTACCTCGATATGTACGTCCTTGGTTGCCATGCAGACGAAAATTGCCAATAATGGTTTTACTGTGCAACGGATCCGTTTCGTTGCAGTGCGAACGGGAAAGGACCATAGTAATCAACGCCACATACAATGAATGGTCGCGTACCTCTGAATCTTTGACGCGGCATACTTGTGATATCTAATATCGATAACGGAGAATATGCAGAATTAATTGAACACAGCTGTGGAGTGTTCGCAGAAGAACTTGCTGCATAAGAAGTCCAACGAAATCGCGTACCTTCGGTAATGTAATCAGATGACGTTGCGTTTCTAACAATTCCCAGGATAAAAGCCAATAATAATAATCAGAGAGCGGAAATTAACATTTTTAAATAGTTAACTAAACAGTTATTTGCAAAAAACACTTACACTTTTTACACTATGTTTTGATGAATTCCACGCGTATTTATAACTTTTTGTACATTTGTGATGTATTAAGTGAACATTTTGGCGAAATTGTATATTTAATTGCAATATTCCAGTGTTGAAAATCCGCACAAACATCTCGCCAAGTTAATATAAATAAGACGGAGGAAAACTGGTGCTGCCACTCTGTTAATATAATTTGTATTTCAACTTTAAAAACACCCAAATTATGCACAAGAAATATACTTTTGTCAAACGAAGGGGAGTTGTGTTCCTTTTCTTCGGACGCAAAAAGGAGAGTTCCACTTAGTGAGGGTTATAATCCCTAAGTGCGGCAGAAGGCCGCCTACGCAAAAAGGAGTTTGGCACACAAATACTTTTTTAATAGAGTGGTAGCTCCAATTTTCCTCCGTCTTATTTATGTTAACTTTTAACAAGATTGTTGTGTGGATTTTCAACACGGAAATATGCAATTAAATATATAATTTCGCGAAAATGCTCTTTTAATATATTAAATACAAGTGTCCATTCATTTGCGAGAAATTCATCAAAACATAGTGCAAAAAGTGAAAGTGTTATTTGCAAATAAGTTTTTAATGAACTAAAAATGTTAATTTCCGCTTTAAAACGCGCCGATTGATACCCATCTCGAATTTTTTCGTAAATTTTGGCCTGGTTACGCTTTCTTTGAAAAAAATAATGCAGCGGCTTAAAATTTTTTTGTTGACAAATTTTGTGAAGCTTATTAACAATTATTTTGTTTCTTAATTAAATTCCATCCATCCGCAATGAACACCCTTTAGATGAGTAACACTTGCGGTAAACTCCTGTTTATTTTTGCAGCTCTCCGTGCAAATAATTTGCAGTTTCATTTTAAAATTGGTGGCTTGTGGTTATGGTATAAAACTTTTTACATGCCGGAACATTTTCACAAAAAGCCACATTTAAGTAAGTACGCATAGGTGTAGAAATAATTAGAGTTAGCCAACTTTAGTACAAATATGTATGTACTCAACTTTACGAAGAAAGCGCTTTGGATGTATGCATGTGAGTAAGATTATAACGCACTTAATAAGCTTTATTCTAACTTCTTCAAATGAACATGAAATACTTGAGCAAACTTCTTTTTAACCACTTTCAGTCTAGATCAGTTGCTCGTTCCTTTTGCATAACATAAAGTTCCTTGGCAGTAATTTTTCTGCTATCCGCTAACCGCTAGCATGACAATGTTGGATGTTGACGGCGATAAAATATAAAGCGGAAGCGAATTTTTCACGCAACTAATGAGTTTTTCATGCCGCAACTAGCTGCCATCGCACAAACCAATCGAACACTCAGCTCTTCGTCGCTTCCGTTGACTGCGCACACTTTATTTTTGCTTTTATTTTATATCCTATTTCATTTTAGCCTTCTCTTCCATTTATGTATATATACCGTTGAATTTAAATGAAGTCCTTGGAGTCCGTTTACATGCTTAGAGGAGAATGCTTTGATGCCTTGCAAATCGTTGGCGGAAAAACGTAGAAATCAAAGTGAGTAAAATAGTATATTAGAAAAAAAAACGGAAATTGTTAGTGGCGAGATATGCATTTCGAACAAAATTGATGACAAACATTGCATGCTTTTTCCATTAAATTACCATAATCTTGATGTGTTCTTATTTTTTTTTATTCCTATTTTTTACTTCATTCCTTCGACGCGCTGCGGTTTGTAACGACGCTTTTTTCTCAACTGGACGCCATTCGCTCTGGCTGTAGCCATGTGGAATGTACTAAATGTAGCTTAGTATATATGTACATGTATGAGTATTTCAGCACTGATGCTACCCATGATGTAAGTTCTTTTTCTCTCGAAATGTAAAATGGAAAAAACTAATGACAGATTCGTGAATGCATAAAAACTAATGGTTTGTGAGCAAGCAGAAAAATCAGCAATCAACTGAATGTAATAGAAGTTGTCGAAAAAAAGAATGTTGCTGGAGAAATTACTGCGGCGCATTGGAAAGGTGTATGGGATAATGGCCAAATGTTGAATGAAAATTGCATTCTAAAGTGGCCGTCTAGAGTGGTCGTATAAAGCATTCAAGGTTTCTCCGTTGATATTTGAATAGCAGAATAAGCTGCATCATTTCGTTTAATGTGGCAATTGCAAATGAAATGTGTGTATGTAGTTACATAAATTCTCTAAGATGCCTTTAAGGTTAAAATTTTAAGCAATCACCATAAGAAACAAAAATATTTCTTATACAAAAATAAACACTCATGGAGCTAGCTAAAATTGGGAGCCACTTGTTATTTAAGTATGAGGCTAATTTGATTTTGACAAGCAAAAGGTAAGAATATGAAGAATAGATGTGCATAGTTTCTTTCATTTAAAATTTCGCAGCAGAGAAATTATAGGTCCAATTCATATTCGATATGCTGAAACTTATCGTCATCCTTATACTAAGTTCGAACAGAAATACTTAATTTCAACTCGATTTAAATTTTAATTGATCTTCCGCTATTTGGTATTCATACTAGAGATGCCAATCGAAATAAAAATAATCGATGCGGGTAGAAATCGCCACAAATAAATCGATTCCCCAAGATCGTTTCATATATTTATTTTATTTTTATAGAGAAATCAAACCGAGAGATCTGACCAACACTGAAATTACAAACACTTATTGTAATTAATTGTTAAAACTTATATTGTTCATAACGGTTTCAATATCTACATTTATCGCCATCAGGTTGCTTACAATCCGTAAATAATTAATAAAAATTGTAAAATCAGGTTTTTCTTAATTAAGCCGGCTTAATTATGAGAAGTTTCAAAAATTCTTAAAAGTACTTAAGGAAACAGTAACATTTTTTCGAAATTTTGTTGTTTTTACACAAGAGAAAACATTACCTTTTACTTTAAAACTAAGCGGTATTTTAAAAAGTGTATTATACATACTCCCCTTCTTCTTAATTGGCTCTGTAACCGCCTAAGCGATTTTGGTCGAGTCAAAAACAGCACTTCAGTCATTTCTCTTCTGTACCAACTGACGCCAATTGGAAATTGCCAAGTGAAGCCAAGTCCTTCTCCATCAGGTCTTTCCAACGCAGAGGAGGCCTTCCTTTTCCTGCGTTATCATACAGCTCATCGTTAAATCGTCTGTGGTATTCGCCATCGCTAACGCGAGAAGGTCCATAAATCTTGCGCAGAATCGTTCTCTCGAAAACTCCAAGAGCCGCTTCATCAGATGTTTCCACGCCATACACCAGCACAGGCATGATGATTGACTTATAGAGTGTGATCTTTGTACGACGAGAGAGGACTTTACTTCTCAATTGCCTACTCAGCCCAAAGTAGCACTTGTTGGAAAGAGTGATTCTCCGTTGGATTCCAATGTTGGCATTATTATTGGTGTTGATCCTGGTTACCAAATAAACGAAGTAGTCTACTTTTTCAAACTTTTAACTATCAACAGTGACAGGATACGCCAAGACGCGTATCCTCTGACTGCGTGTGTGACGGCAGAAGATACTTCGTTTTGTCCTCGTTCACCACCAGACCCATGCAGAGAAGGCAGAACAGACGCATGATTCAATAATCAAAGGTTTGCTCACTAGTGACATTAGAGTTTGGACACTTCCTTAACTCCGTTACAAAAGCTTTGCATACACACCCGAACCCACACCGGACCCATTCGCCTTGCTTCTCTATCCAATCCCGAGAAGGCAGAACAGACGTAGCCCTTGAATCGACAAATAGATGGTGTGCGTCGATCCTATTCTCGCGGATCTTTTCCAAGATTTGGCGAATTGTGAATACCTGACCTATGGTGGATTTGCCAGGCCTAAAGCCACACTGTCTTCAGTATTTCGTACAATTCACTCGATAAGACCTTATAACCAATGCTTAGAAGGCTGATTCCGCGGTAGATGGCACGAATGGCGGGATCGCCTTCCTTGTGGATTGGGCAGAGCACAGTTAAATTCCAGTCGTCGGGCATGCGTTCATCTGACCATATTCTGCATAATAGCTCAGCTGGCAGGCTGTCAGCTCCAGCAGCTTTGTTGTTTGTCAAGCGCGCTATCGCTAGTCAGGTGGAGGAACATCGACTCCATCGTCATTGACTGGTGGTTCGGGTTCGTCTTGTCCTATTCAGCACTGCTACTATTCAGTAGGGTGGAAAAGTGTTCCCACCATAATTCAAGTACATTCTGGACATCGGTCACTAGGTCGCCATTGTTGTTCTTACAGGAGTTCGCCCTGCTCTTGAAACCTTCTGTAAGTCGCCTAACCCTCTGGTAAAATTTTCGGGCATTTTTTCTGTCGGCTAGCATTTCAAGCTCTTCGCGCTCACGTATTTCGGCCTCTCTCCTCTTATTGCGGCAAATACGTCTCGCTTCCTTCTTCAGTTCCCTATAACGGTCCCACATGGCCCGCGTTGCGCCCGATCGCAGCATGGCCCTATAGGCGGCGTCTTTTTTATCTGCGGCTTCTTGACATTCCTCATCATACCAGTTGTTCTTTCGGGATCGCTGACATGGAACTACTTCTTCGGCGGCGGTACTTAATGATCGGGAAATGTGGTTCCACTGATCGCTAAGAAGGTATTTAGGGTATGCAATATTTTAACGAAAATATCCACAAAGTTTTAAGCTCCAATTTTTGGAGCTTTATTGTAGTGTTATTGCTCATAATTTTACATAGAATTATCAGGGAAACTGCAGTCGGTGAAGAAAGAGAAGCAGGTAATTGGTTTCTTTGGGCTTTGCTTTCCCAAGTTGGAAAGGTAGGAGTTGCCAAGCCTGCATTATTTGTACTAGCCTAAAATTCAAATTTCTTAAAAATTGTATAGATTTTCTAGTGCAAACCACATATGTATGCATCAGTAGATGAAAAATAGAATGTCGATTTTCGAATTTTTGGATCGATTCGCGGATCGAATCGGAACTAAGAAATCAACAAAATCCGAATCGAAAGGGCTCGGTTAATCGATTTAAAAACGGCATCTCTAGTCTAAATTAGTTCAATCGAGGGTACTCAAAGAATACGTGGCGGGCGAAATGGCTCAGAAAAAAAAAGTACCTCGCCATGCAATATATTAATCCAGGATACCAGATTTGATATTATTGCACTTGATTTGCCACTCCGCAATGCTGTTTTCCCTGGCATGCGAGGCGGATGCAAGAGGCGTAGGTTTTTTCGCCAGTATATCAACGGGTATCATACTGGCGATTATGAAAGCTGCGTCTTCCGACATTGTTCTGAAGGCGCTGCAAACTCGTAGCACGCAAAAACGGTATGTTGAGTTGATTCCGCGGAAGTATGCTGGACACTGGGGCCGCACACTGTATTCCGCTAAGAGTAAACGTCTGTGATGTTTAGGTCCCCGCGTGTTAAGCATTATTCGCGATAGTCCCGTGATCGTCAAATCTCCTATCTCTATCACATAGCTGAAGTGGGTGCTGAAAGTAAGGCGTTTATCTAGTACCACTCCTAAGTATTTAATTGTGGGTTTCGTAATGGCGATGTGATCGCAAATTTTCAGAGCTACCTCCACTAACTTCTTGCGACTCGAGATGAGTATTGCTTCTGTTTTTTGCTCGGCTAGATTGAGCCTGAAGCTGTTTAGCCAATTTTTAATCACGCCGTCTCCTGAGGCTACTACCGCAATGTCGTCTGAAAAGCCTCGGGTTATTAGTTGCGAAGAACTGCATCATACATAATGTTCCATAAGGTTCCAAATAAGTTGGTACTAATTTTTGAAGGTAGAATGAAATTCCAATCTAATCTGAAATTCCAATCAAAAGGGTTGCCACCTGTTAAAAAAGTTTTTTTCGGAAGTGTCACCTGGTCAAAAAAAAAACGAATTGAACTCAAATTATTAAAATATGTATCGCAATATTAGGCGAATAAAAATTAACAAGGTTTTAGCTTGAAAATGCTTTTGAAGACAACACACAAATTATATGAAGTATGTAAATACAGGTGCCCAAACGAAATAGTCTTAAGAAATCCTTATTTTGAACATTGGAAATGTTTGAAGAGTGTTGCCACGTGCTTCAAAAGTGGCATTGAAATTATTTAATAAATTGGATGAGATATTAGGTCCATTCTTTTGCAACCAAGCTCCAAAAGAACACTCGCTTAAATGACGAAATACACGCAAAGCAACAACACAAACACGGTTAAAACATACGCGACCTGGAGAGTAGAGTTTAGAGTCCGACCGATTCCAATTTTTTTTCAGGTACCGATGCCGATGCCGATTAATCGGCTTATGGGGAAAGAATCGGCCGATGTCAATGCCGATGCCGATTCCATAAAAAATTACAAATAAATGTATTAATTCATAAAATCAGTTCATTTCACGGAGTTAAAAAAACAAAAGAAGAGAAATAATTGAATAAGTTGGCTTGTTATGCAACATTACATACACATGTATGTACATACATACATATGTATGTGTAAAAATATATGTACATATATCACATTTATGTACATTTCATAAAACACTTTTTTATATGGTGCTAAGCAAAAAATATTTAGGAACATAAAATTTCATTTCGTTTTGTACTAAAATACACTCTTTTGCACTCAATGCATAAGAATATATGTACATACATATAGTGGTCCACAAAGTGTTCTCCATAAAAATAATTTTTGAGCTGTCTGCAAATGTTTTTAAAAGTTGGCTGTCGCTTCACCTGAACATTTGAAAAGAAATTCTAAAGAATCGGCGAAAAAAGGCCGATGCCAATGCTTTTGTGCCGATAGTAGCCGATGCCGATGCCGATTAATCGGTCGGACTCTAGTAGTGTTGTTGACTGAAAAAACTGCTCTATTGTGAATTTTTAATGGGAAAGTGGAGAGGGAAATTTTTGTTTTCGTATATACATTATATTTCGTAAATAAGGATATATATTACGCAAATACCTCGCATAATTACTAATTTCTATTGTTTTTTGTGTCCAGATCCCTTTGAATTAATCACATGTTTCTTGCCAGCTACCAGCAGGGTTGCTTAAGTAGCCAAAAGGAAATTTTACCCGAGTTGAGCGTTCTTTTGTCGCTCGCTTACAAAAAAATGCAGCCATTAAAAGATGGGTATTAATCGAAATGGACTTGAAAAAGCTTTATTTCTGAAATATATTTAGGAAGTTTGACACTTGTTTGAAAAGTCTAACTTAGTTAACTAATATGCAGGTTATTTGAAATACTAAAATATGGTGTTTAAAGAATGTTTAGTTTGAACATTTAGAATATTTTTGAAAGGTTT